CCCTTGGAATGGGGTTTTGCTGCACAAAGCAGAGCCCAAAGTTGGGACCTCGTGGTGGAACAGCCCTCATGGGGCTGCCATAACCCATCACTATGCCCCCACCTGCAGGTCCATCTGTCCTCACACAGTGTGGTCTTAGAGATGCCCTCACCCCGACTTAGCTCCATGGGGCAGGAACCTCACCCAGTGAGGAGGAGCAGGAGGGTCCCTCCCTGCCCCTGCAGCATCTTCAGGGCTGGTTCATCAAGTGGCAGATCTCGTTCTTGCAGAGCTCCTGATAACATCACCTGCTTGCAAGCGCACGACAACCACTGCCATGGGCTGGAGGGGAGGAGGAGGCGAAGCGATGGGGCTGGCGATGGTCCCTCCAGCTCCCAGCTTAAAGGCAAGGGGTTAAAACCTGGCCTTAGAAGTGCATGGGGCAGGCGCAGGGTAGAGGTGGGTTGATGCCCAAGGGTGAATTCCCCTCTGGGATCGCTGAGACGTGCAGTTTGCAGCGGTGTGAATCAGATCTGTCGGATTTCTGTGGTTTCCTGGAGGCCCAGCTCGGGCTATAAAAGCCCCAAGTGGGTGCTGAGGGGACCCCGGCAGCACCTCAACCTCCACGGCACCCACCATGAAGGACCTGCAGCACCTCCTGCTCCCCATCCTGCTGCTGACGAGCCCAGCGCCTCGAACCAGTGAGTCCAGGGCTGGGGAAGGAGGAGGTCCAGGAGCGCATCCTGCATCCTCCCGTCTCAGCCTCGGCTCCATCCATTGCAGGTTCTGCCTGGACCCGGACTAACAGAGGCCACGAGGCCAGGAGCCAGCCCATGCCCTACATGGCCTATGTGCAAGGAAAGAACCAGCAGTCCTGTGGGGGCTTCCTGGTGGCCCCAAGCTGGGTGATGACGGCGGCTCAGTGCTTGGAGTAAGTTCTGCCTGGGGTGGTACCTCCATGGGGTGGGTGATGGCTCCTGGCTGGGTCCAAGGCTTGGGGTCACATCAAGGCTGGGGCTGAGCTCTTCCCATCCCTGTGGCTGCTCAAGGGGCAGGGCAAGGCCATGTCCTGCGCTCCCATCATTCCTTAAAGCAGTGCCCAAGGCCAGGTTGGATGGGGCTTGGAGCAAGCTGCTCCAGTGGAAGGGGTCCCTCCTCGTGGCAGGGGTTGGAGCTGGAGGAGCTTTAAGCTCCCTTCAACCCAACCCATTCCATGATTCCATGTCACACCTTGGGCTTGGTTTCAACAGCTACAAGCCTCTGACTGTCATCCTGGGAGCCCACACGGTCCAGAGGAGAGAGCCAAGCGGGCAGAGGTTCGAGGTGCAGCAGTACCATCGCCACCCGCACTTCACCAGCCCCAGGAAGGGAAACGACATCCTCTTGCTGAAGGTACTCACGGTCCCATCTGCCACAACACAGAGCCTCATCCCTCATGGACCGAGCTCTTAACTTCTGCCTTTGCCCCCTTGTCGCAGCTGAAGGGCAACCCCACCACCAACCACCACGTCAGGACCATCTCCTTCGACATGGACAAGGAGCTCGGGGGTACCAAGTGCAGCGTCAAGGGCTGGAGCCACACGACGGCCACGGCCACCCTGCACCAAGTCTGTGTCACCATCGTCAAGCCAAGGGATTGCTTGAACTTGGACCCTGGGCTGGCCCAGAACCTCATCTGTGCCCGCAATGAATCCTCCACGTGGCCCAAGAAGGTCAGTCCCTGGGCTAAAGCACTTTGGGTACCATCTGCAAGCGCTGCTTCTTGTCCTGTTCCTCCATCCCCATCCGGGCTCCCTTCTCCTGCATCCCTCTCCCGCATCCCTCTCCCGCATCCCTCTCCCGCTATCCTGGCACAAGGGTCTTGCTCTCCAAGGCTCAGCCCCTCATGGTCCTGCTGACCGCAGGCATCACGTTGTGCTCAGCCCATGGTGAAGCAGAGGGGATCCTGGTTTTCCCCGCAGCAAAGAGGGGTTTGCTCTAAATGTCCTCATTGATCTGAGTGCATCTGAGCACAGAACCCACCAGGTTGGAAAAGACCTTTCCCATCATCAAATCCCAACCATCCTATGGTGCTCTGCAGGCGCAGAAGGGCAAAAGGGATGCTTTAACTGGTCCCTTCCAGAGGGCTCCAAGCTGGAGCAGCTCTGCAGCCTCCCTCTTTGCAGATGCAAAGACCCCATTTCCTAGGGGAAACCCCATACAAAGCAGTGATTTCCCCTCCTCCTCTTCCCAGGGTGATGCTGGGGACCCACTGGTCTGCAACAACAAAGCCTACGGCATCTTCTCCTACCGGCACCAACACCTGCCCGGGTTCTACACACACATTGCTCCTTTCCGGACCTGGATCAACAGCATCATTAAGTCAGCGTGACCCTGCTCCTGCTCCTGCTCCTCCTTCCCTCCTCCCTAGGAAGCACCTTCCACTGTTCCTTATGGACACAGCTGGGATTCCTCCCTGCCAAAGCCAAACCGTGGCTCCCACCGCATCCCGCTCCCATTTCCCCTTCCTTCAAGCTCTGGGTGAGGTGAAGCAGCCCTGGGGGCTCTTGGGGAAGGAAAGAAGGGGGGGATCCAAAGAGCAGCCTCCTCCTTGCCCGTTGCCTTTAGGACATCATTGCCTGGGGATGCTTTGCCCCAATCTCAGCTCCTGCTTCACTCCTGCAGCTCCCATGCCCAACCTCTGCACCCCACTGCCTGCTTCCTCCCCTCCTGTTGTAGCTGCAGTGGGGGGAGAACACATGAACCAATAAATGGTGTCTGCCTCGGAGAGCCTCTCTCCTTGCTGTGGTTTGGAATTCCCTCGGATGCTTCCTCTGCTCCAACAGCTCCAGCCCAAGGCGGGAGGGTCTGCCCTGCGCCCGAATAGGGGTAAAACCTGGTTATGGGGCAAGGAAAGCCTCGTGGCCTCCTCTCCCTCAGGCTCCCTTAAAGCAGGGTCCAGGTTGGGCTCGGAGCAAGCTGCTCCAGTGGAAGGGGTTCCTTCCCCTTGGCACGGGTTGGAGCTGGAGGAGATTTAAGGTCCCTTCAACCCAAACCAGGCTGGGATTCAATGGCAGCAGTGAAGGACAGAAGCATCCCCCCCAAAAGCTTCCAGGGATCACTGGGTATTGGAGCACCAGAGAGAGGGAGGGAGGAGCTCACTGGGGACCCATAAACTGGGAGCAGGGCCACGAAGCTGATCCAAGGCCTGGAAAGCCAAGAGGAAAGGCTGAGAGAGCTGAGGGCTCAGGCACCACGTTCCCGTATTCCAATGGACACAATGAAGATGGAAGATTGCGAGTGGACCCAAGAGGAACACAGTTCACTATGGGAACAACCAGCACTAGAATCACCTCCTAAGGGAAGTGCTGCATTCCCCAGTGTTGGACATCCCCATTCAGCTGGGCACGGTGCAGTATAGGTCACGCTGAGCCTGGTGAGGTTGGACCAGATGATCCTTGAGGTCCCTTCCACCCATGTACCATGATTCTGGGGGCAAAACCCCAGACCAAAGGGATTAAGAGAGCAGGTACTTGCCAATCCCAGTCATTCCAAACTCCTCCCAGTCGTTCCCATAGGTAGGAAAAGCTATGAGCAAAGTTACTGGGGACCAGCTGGGGATGCTCAGGTTGGTGCCGTGGGTTTCCATGCCCACAATGCCCTCTATGGGTTACCAACAGGACGTGTTCTTCAAGGCCCTACCTTGCTGAAACGATCCAAACCAAGCCCTTTAGAGGCAAAGCCCCATCTGCAGGCTGGAAGTGAACTGGTGGCTAAACTGGGAACGGCAGCTCGTTCCCCAAGGCTCTTCCCACCATTCAGGCTGCTCTGAAGCAAACACTGGGAAGCTGGTGTGAAGCTTCCCAAGGATGCTCCCATCTGACACCCCCCTTCTTCTTCACCAAGAGCCTCACTGAAGGTCTCCATGAACCAGCAGAGCAGGAGGGACCTGCTTTTTGGATGCTTCCTACCAACACCCTTTATTTCCATGGCCAGGAGCTATAGATCCAGAGCCCAGATGAAGGGAGCAGCAGTGGTGGCTGGGAGCAGGGAACAGCACCCATTGGGGCGGTGCAGAAGAGCCGCCAGCCACATCCTCACCCACTTTGGCCTTATCCAGATGCTTTCCCAGCCCAAATCCCAGCCTGGTTTGTATTGGGAAGGACCTTAAAGCTCCTCCAGTTCCAACCCCCTGCCATGGACAAGGACACCTTCCACTAGAGCAGCTTGCTCCCACCTGGAGCCCACAGGGGCTGGTGTAGGTGAGTGTGATGCAGGATGTTCCAAAGCTGCTTTTCCCAAGAGCCCCCCAACCACAGCTGGGATAAAGCATTCCCAGCAGGACATCGAGCTCCCAGGGCCTTCCCCCTGTGCAAGGAGAAGGCTTGGAGCAAGGGGACAGGTACCTGCCAAGTGGAAGTGCTGGAGGGGGTCTTCCATGGCTGGAGATGAAGCTCAGGTTCCTCTGGCTGCAGCTTCCTGCAAACACAAGGACATTCAAGCATCTCGCCTGTCCCAAATGATTTCAGCTGGAATTCCTGGGGAATGACCCTAGGGAAGGAGGATGAAACTCCAGGAACTCCATCCCGGGACACCCCGTTGTCAAAACACCACCGCAAGCCTGCATCCCCCAGGCTCCTGAAGGGATGGATTGAGCAGCGGTCCATGCTTCAGTCTGTGTTGCTAACAGGCAAGACTGGAAGCAGGGTTCCTTCCCACATTCCTCCTATTGGGAATGGATACCCTGGGAGAACACTACAGGAAGAGGCAGTCTAACAACTCCACTGAGCAATTCTGCTCCCAAATCCTGGAAAACTCAGTCCCCACAGCTTCAAATCCGAGTCATCCCCTGAGCACACATCGGTGCTGTATGGAGATACTCTATATGTTACCTTCTAGTGACCAAACCACTTTGTTTTATGGCTGAATCCTGGTTTTCCAAGCAGGGCTTTGAGCCTCAACAAGCTGCAGGTCCCACAGTGGTCCTATTGGAGCCAAGCAGAAAAGAAAGGAATGAAGAAACACAATCCAGGAGCAGCAGGGCTTTTAGGAACAAAATTTATTCCAATTTCAAACAGAGAATTTTATTTCAGGAGAAAGATATGAAAATCCATGGTGGTTTTTTGTTTGTTTTTCCATCCGAGATTTCTGCCCTAAGGGGGTTGTTGCCCAGCAGTCGGAATGGGATCATTGCAAGAAACAAACCCACTCCTGGACTGGAATGAGACACTTTGGAGCCTGAACAGATCCGGACAGTGGGTATCTTATTCAGCAACTCCTTTCCCCTCCCCTCTGCCCTCCCTCCCACCCCAACACGCACAACAATACATGCACTGCAAAGGACAAGGTTTAAAAACAGCGTCGGAGAGAGGCTCCTTTTCAAGAGGCTAATGGTGAAATGGTCTGCAATGAGAAGGTACAAGTCTAACCGAAGAAGTTCCACCACATTGGCACTTGGCAAGAGTCTCTGGCACTACTAAAGAAGGGGCATTGGCACGAACCATACTCTTCAATAACTGGGTGCTGCAGAACACACTGGATCTCGGCTGGACTCTCACGACCTGGGCTCTGTACAGAACGACACAACGGGCAGCACACTCGGCAAGTACTCTAGATATATTTTTATATATATATAGAAGTGGGGGTTTTAACCTTTTTTTTTTTTACTTTTTTACATTTTTTCTCTTTTTTTTTTTCCTTTTTCTTTTTTAAAAACCAAGAAAACACATGAAGAAAACCCAGAGTGGAAGGCAAGGCCGACAACTGCGAGGAAGCAACAAGAAACCAAGGAATCCACCTCCGTGAGATGGGAGAAGGGCAAGGAGCTATGTGACACGCTGAAGCGGGAAGGGGCTGTTGCTCCAATCCATCTGGAATGGCAGAAGGAAAAGCGGGATGCTCCTCACCTCACGTTTCAAAGTTGGTTTCTTCAGCAGAGCAAAGAGCAGAGGTTGGCCCAGAGACCATATCCGCGGGCTCAAGATGCGAGGTTATCCCCCCAAAGAACCCAATTCCACCTCTTTCCTGAAGGTCTCAACCTGTGGAACATTCCAACTGGCCTCGCTTATGGAAAAAGGGGGAAAAGAGGCAAATTTGGTTTCGGGCTTGGCACTTTTACTAGGGCAGGCCTTTGCCAAAGGACCAGCCAAGAGAGATGCGAACCAGCGCGGTACCAACGCGGCGCTGGCCAAGCCAGAGGCACACGAGCTCCCTCGTGCTCAGACAAGCCAAAAGTGGGATGTCCTCACATGGAACACAGCCCATGGCCAACTCTGGATCACACACACATGAGGCTGACCCATTCCCTGCCTCATTCCAAAGGAGGGTTCAGAACTCCTAAGAGCCATCGCGGAACGTTCTCCCCTTCCCTCTGCAGTAACCACCATGCCAAGTCAGTCACCAGGCCAACAGCTACACCAAGGAGTTGCTCAGCAAGGTACTCACCCCTCCCTAACTCCTCGTGCCCACAGCCTCAACAGCTCCCACACAACAGAGTCCTTCTGCAAGAGACAGAAGCCAAACTCCCTCCTCCTGTGCCAGGGCAGCAGCACTTCAAGAAGGGGAGGATACAAACCCAAGGAGTTTCTGATTCAAGTGGCAGTACCACCATCATTCACCTTGGGAAAGAACTTCTGGGAAGTTATTCCCAAGAACCTGTGTCTCTCAGCGCCAGCTTTGGGCTGGCAATAGCTGTAGTGTGAACCATCTCCAAGAGGATCACAGAAGAGGCTGCTGCTGCCATCTGCTTGGGCTGAGCAGCGCTTCGAATACACCCGGATGATTATAAATTCCTCTTTATAGGACAGTTTCTACAAAATGGATCGTTTTGGCATAAAGACAAAAAAGAAAACCAAGCAGTAAAATTGATGCAAAGCTGTCTGACACATGGGAATCCCTCTCCTTCCTCCCAAGTGTTCCATGCAGGCCAGAGCGTGGCTACTCTAAAGAGATGCTGCGCTTCCCCCCAGCATCACTGCTCAGCCACACTGGCTCTTCAACTGTTGGTCCCATGGCTACTGCTCCACCTCGAGCTCTCTCATGGCTCTGAGCAGAGCTTCCTTTCTCCTGTAGTGCTCTGAGACATCAGAGGCTTCCCTCACAAGAGGGACCTAGAAACAACAACGCTGTCCCTCCCTACTGTAGTGTTCTGGATCAAAGCATCTCAGACAGTTAAGATTGACTCTTACATGTGCAAAACACTGATGTAGTGCTCTGTCTACAAAAGAGACAAAATATCAACAGCCCCCTTCAACAGTGCAGCTCATGTCTTCACCTTCAGGCCTTCACGGGGGCAACCTGCTTGAGCCAGAGAATTTGGACCCGATGCTACTGGTTGGAATTGAAAGAGAAGCATTGATGATGCTAAACAACACATAGCCAGCGGTGGGGCAGGTTTCCCTGCTTCCTATCCCTGCTCCTTGCCACTGCAGTTACTTTCCAGGCTGGCAGCAGCTCGGCAGCACATCCGTTCACTTGCCTCAGCTCTGCGATGTGCAAAGGCTTCACATCAATCCGCTCAGTGGAGTTCCATTTGGCATCTAGAATCCACAACTGCTGCTGCTCTACCTTCCACCCTGCACCAGCAAAGCCTGCTCTCTGCTCTCCTGCTACCAGCACAGCAGAGCTCCCTGCTCCCACCGCGCCACGACACAGCACACATCCCCCTGGAGCAAGGTTGTGTGCAAGTCTTCCAACGAGGATCCCTACTCCTCTCAAGAGAAACCCAGCAGCATGTGCCTATGGGGAATGCATAAAGAGGAGAGGGAGAACTGCTCCTCCTCCTCCATCCTCAAGCTTTTCAAGTAAGAATCCTCCCTCCATCCCAAAGTTGGTCACGAACCAACTCTGGTCCTTCCTATGAACCTACGAGCTGGACAGGACCAAGGAATTCTTACACAGTCAATTGAACACACTGGCACAGAACAATAATCAAGGCTTGTTTGCTACTAGCAGCAAGAAAAGAACTCAAGGGTGGCACGAGACTAGAGAGATTTCCCATCCAAGCGTGATGCTGGAATGCCACAACTCCTCGGCGCGCTTTGGGGCTGCGCTGCCCGCAGAAGCCGCTCCATGTCACACACCACCGCTGTCTACTCGCCAAGACCTAAGTCTGCCCTCTGCAAATGGAGCCCTTGTGGTGTGTGGGGAGGGGGAGGATGTGGGGATGTGTGTGAGAAACCAAAAGGAAAAGCAAACCTAAAATTCAAACCTAAAGAAAACAGAGAAAACGAAAGAACAATTACAGTCAGGCACTTCCCCAGGCTCAGCAGCTATTGCTCCAAGAGCTTCCATCATTTGTAGTCCATGAACAAAATACAGCAACACGTAGCAAACTATGTATAGAACATCAATAATTTAAAAAAAAAATAATAATCACAGTCTCCATACCTTTTATCATTGATAAAGAAACAAAATAACTCAAAACTAGAACATATCAAGAATGGCAAAGTGATGGCTTTTGGTGGTGGTGGTGGTGGTGGTTGTGGTTGGCCTTTTTCTTGTGTGGGGTTTCTTTTTTGCACAATGGTTGGAGAGCAATTGCTCCTCCCCAACGTTTCATCACAGTGAACCATGGAGCGTGTCCTGGGGAAGGGAAAGGGAAGGGCAAGAAGCAAGCAGGGTTAACAACTGACACCAGAGGCACCCATAGCACAAGGCAAAGGGCCCAGTAGCATTCTGCACTCCCACAGTCCAGTGAATGCACAATCTCAGCTGGAAAGTTGGGGGTTGTTTTTATATATATATTTATATATATACCATGGGAATGAAAACGGGGGGGGGAGGAAAGGGGCAGGGGGAGGCAAAAAGTGGCGAAGCAACGAAGGAAAGCTCAAGATGAGGCTGCTTTAAGTTGGCAGAACGTAAGAAGTAAGCAAGGTGCTGAAGAGATGAGGCATATCCCCGTTAACTTGTGAAAGAAAAGCGATCTTGTTAAAATAGGAAATCAGCTACTCTGTGGACAGAGACATGAGACTCCAGGGTAACACTGAGCACGTGCCACTCCACAGGTCAGACAATTTGCAATCATTACATCATCAAAAAAAAAACCCAAAAAAAAAGGAAAAAAAAATAAAACAAATTAAAAAAAAAAAAGGAATTAAAACTTTTGTGGTTTTCCTGTTGTCTGGAAACTTTCTTGTTTTGTCTTTTCTTCCCAACGAAGCCTCTCGACGGGGCTGAGAGCAGAGCGGGGTCAAACCAGGTTGTATTCCTTCAGGTTGAGCTGTAGGATGGTGTCCTTGACAGCTGCGAAGACGAAACGGATGTTTTCCGTGTCTGTGGCACATGTGAAGTGGGAATAGATGATTTTATCGCTGTCGGGATTTAAATCCACAAACATCTTGAGAATGAACTCCCGGGCTGCCTGCGCATCCCTCTGCGGGCCTGCAGCGAACAGAGACACCAGTTACCCACTGACCCAGCGACCCCACACTGGGGTGGGTTGGAAGGGACCTGAAAGCTCAGCCACTTCCAACCCCCTGCCATGGGCAGGGGCACCTTCCACTAGAGCAGCTTGCTCCAAGCCCCATCAAACTTGGCCTTGAGCATTACCAAGGATGGGGTAGCCACAGCTTCTCTGTTCAACCCATTCCAGTGTCCCAGCACCCTCACAGGGAACAGCTCATCTCAATCTACCCTGTGGGGATCTAAAGCCCTGGGCAGATGTTACCAGCCAGCTTTAAATGAACTCAACTGTAGAGCCTGAAGCATGATTTAGGCTGAGGAGTTCTGCTGCCAAGAGCAGTTTCTCTGCTTCACATCAACCCTGGCTGACCACAGCTGCAGATGGCACATGAGTCACAATTCACTACTGAGATCTGCAGCACCCTCATTTGAACAAGCTGGGTATTGGACCAGGCAGTTTCTTAAAACAAGGCCTCACATCACCCCCTGACTACAGGACTGAAGTGCCCAGTACACCAGCGAATGGGGTTTATGAACTGGCTTTCTGCACAAGCACACAGGTAGGAAAGCCAGACTTCCATAACACCCTGAAGCACATCCTGAGGGCAGGAGGAGTCATTCTTCATCTAGCAGAGGCGCATTCCATCAGATTCCAGTTACCTCCATAGGATTAAGCTACTTTGGTGCCATCTTCTCCTTGCTCTAGCTATTCCTTCCCCAATTCAGATGTTTTGCCCATCTCTAGGGCTGAGGTATCTTTCAAAACCCAACACAATTCTGTCCAAACCACCTCCAACCCCTTCTTCTAGATAAGAACGTTCCTCCTTGAAAACCACTCACCATCAAACTCCGGGAAATAGTCGACAAGGTGGGAATAAAGGATCTTGTCTTCCAACAGATCTTTCTTGTTGAGAAAGAGGATAACAGAAGAGTTTTGGAACCATGGGTAAGTGATAATGGTTCGAAAGAGGGCTTTGCTCTCTTCCATCCGGTTCTGAAAGAGAGAAGAGAAAGCCTTGTTTCCACAAAGGAGCACACTGAGATGCTTTTCTGCTGCCTGCACTCCAATCTGCAGCAATCCAGAATCTTGGATACTGGATGCAGAATCCTTTGGCTCCAGGTAGGCTCTGGCTCAAGCTGCACCAGTAAATAGAAAGGAAATGGAAGATCTAATGGATTCCAGCTTCATTTAATTGGCAAACCATTGAGATCAAAAGCCTTAACAGTCATTTTATGCTGTGAGAGTCATGTGAGAGGACTCTGTGGACATGTTTTGTCTGTAAAAAAGGAGTAACTGCTGTTACCTAATGGCATTTTTTAGTCTCTTAGCAAGTGTAAAGATTCAGTGTCACACCTTCAAAGAGAGCAGGCACTATCTAAAAAGGCAGCAGTCACAGCACGGAGTCACTCAGTGTGGAAAGGAGGAATGGAGGGGGTTTAGGAGCATTCCCAGGCCCCACCCCTGGAGACATTCAAACCCGCCTGGACACGTTCCTGTGTAACCTTATCTAGGTGTTCCTGCTCCGGCAGGGGGATTGGACTAGATGATCTTTTGAGGTCCCTTCCAATCTCTAACCTACTGTGATACACAGAACTCAGCAATTTCACAGTATTTCAGGATTACTCGAGAAGTTCCTGATGATCCAAATGCTCCACACATTCTCTATCCTCAGGGACATCATGACCTACCAAGGCTCATGTCCCCTTTGCAACAGGATGAACAGAAGACCAAAACCAGCAACAGATGCTAATCCCACTTTGGTACCAGCCTCAGAAGCTAAAGATGTTCGTCTTTTCTTTGCACCTTCCTGTTGGGTTCCCATTTTTTGGCTTACCTCGTTATCAGATTCCACCAGAACTTGGTCATATTCACTAAGTGCTACTAAAAACATGATGGAAGTCACATTTTCAAAGCAATGGATCCACTTCCTTCGTTCCGATCTTTGCCCTCCAACATCCACCATTCTGAGGAAGAGAAACACACATAGTAGCACAGAAGTGGCTGCAGTTCCCTAGCTGAACAGGACCAGCATATGATGAGAAGCATCGTAGCTCTTTACCACTCAGTTTAACTTGGCATGGGGATGGAATATGTGCTTGCTAACAAAACCCTCAGGTTTACAAACCACCCTGCTCCAGAAATACATCCAACTGACAGGATGGCCACCAAATGCCACCTGGTGCTGCAGCCAGCATAGGCAGTGAGCTTTGGTGTCATCCTGAGAACACAAGGACACAGAAAACCACCTCTGAAGGATTTCTGCACCAGAAGTGGTCTCTTTTTGAAGGAGAAATAACTGGTCAAGGTTGGTTGAGCTCAGCGTTCTTAAAGGCAAATACATTTCACTCCCAGGCCAAGCCTTCCCCCATCCCCTCGGTGGCTTAAGCTCTCACCAGTTCACTCCTCACATGCAACACAATCCCTCCCAAGATCCCTGCAAGATGGTTAGTTGGGCTTTAAGTGTCACTGATTCTGTTCCACAGCTTGGAGCTTTCCCTTCATCAGAAGAACACGTTACACCATCCCCATGGCAGGAGCAGCCTTCAGCAGATGCTTCAGAACATCACACCACATACATCCACTCAAGCACCAGGCCACTCTAAAGCAATCCTGAAGCCATCTCTCCCCTCTCTGAGTTCAGTTGTAACATGAATACACCTTCAGTACCTGAAGATAATATTCTCTAGGTCAAAGGGGTACTCTATGATCCCAGTTGTAGGAACTCGAACCCGTAGCACATCTTGCTGAGTTGGTAGATATCCTGGGGTAGCGATACGATCCACATCGCTGAGATAGCTACAGGAAGGGAAAGACATATTGCCCGAGGTTACAGCACATAAAGACACATATTTCAACCCCTTGAGGCTTTCCCTGGCTCAACAAGAAAAGCAAAAGTCACCTGAATCACTTCAAATATGGGAATAAATCTTTGGGGAGCAGTAATTCACCAGCCATCTGCTTCGGGGAGAAACAAGAGCAAGGACAGCAAAGGAGTGTGGCAGGCAGAGAAAGCTGAAGTTCAGGGATGCTTATGGTTGAGAATTAAGTCTCATCTGAGGTTTTCTATTTAGTAACAAGCAAACCTATGTCATCTGCCAAACCAGCCACCAGTAAGTTACAAATCCATGTAGACCAAAGGACAAACCTGAAGAGAGAGCAACACTTCTGCTACCTAAGTGCCAGGGCCACGCTAGATGGTGTAAGGTATTGATTCAAGACTCAGGCAGATCCAGAAGCAGATGTGCCTGTATCACCCCCCACAACCCATCTTATCCTTTACCTTAGGAAAAGTAGGAAATGGTGAGGAATTTCCAGATCTGTATCTACCCCCAAAACAAACACAGCTTCTCTAGTGCAGCTCTTGGCCTTGTGGAGCCAGATTCAAACAAGTTCCCAAGTTCCTGCTCCCACTGCTCTTTCAGCTTCACTTTTCCTAAAGATATTTCTGCCTTTCTCATGTGCCTACAGCTTTTATCCCAATCCACGTGGCCAGCAGAGGCTGTGCAGCTTGTCTAAAGCACCAGCAAGACTCACCCACGTCAGGGAAACCGAGAGAAGGTACTTTAAATAACACAGGGAAATCCACAGCAGTATTCCTGCTCTCTGGAACCAACTCTAGGCTTCCATTAAACAACTGGACAGGTATTATTTGTTAGAGCATCACTCCCATCTACCAGTGAGTAGGTACTTACTATTTAGCTGAGTCAGAAAGCTGATATTCTCTTCTCCTGTCATAACACTCTTGGATTCCAGGGTCATTCCACAATGTTTTAATTGCACTTACATAGGGCTGCTCAAATGTCATGACCTTTTCTACATCCACTTCCCGGATCAGCACTGCATTGGCCTGGAGGTTGAAGAGGAAAGATAGAAAGAGAAGTTCAAAAGGGGGTGTTGTCAGGGGTCAAAAGCAGGGGCTATTGGTCATAGAGAGGCCAAAATGTCCTAAGAAGCAGTCCTTGAGCACACAACATCTATGGGAAAGACTGCCATGCAGAAGGACACAAGGGAACAGGAACTTTGGAGTCAAGCCCTAGAAGTGCCTAAAGATACGTGCAAAAAGTGGGAGCTACTTACCTTGTTCTGTTCATATTTGTACAGAATCTTCAGGGTTTCCATGGCCCTGATCATAGACTGCATGGCAGTGAAGATGTTCTGGTACACCAGCTTGGTGAAGCCTTTTTTGTCCTCTTCAGAGTAGCCTGAGCCATGAATGATACGCATCTGCTTAATGAACGTGCTCTTTCCACTCTCCCCAGTGCCTATGGAATGCAAGAGACAGTTAAGAGCCATCAGGAGCAAGGTTTGCTGAGGAAGAAAGCATCTAACATCCATCCCATCACACCCCAAAGCTCCACTTGCTCTACCCAAGCACACACAGCTTCCAAGCACTGTTAGAGCTGCTTCCCAGGATCCTCAAGGCCACTCTGGCTGGTCCAGCTCATCCCTACCATGAAGCTTAGAGCACAGGAAGACATCTTGTCCTTCGGAGCAGCCTTCACAAGCAGCTCTGGTTCTTCTTCCACCTCTCACGTTACAGCTCCTCCCACCCGTTCTGCGTCAAAAGGCCCTGGTCCGTCACACCTGACCTATTCCCAGATACTCCAGTAAGATGCTCCGATCCCAGCAGCGCGCTCCACAATTGGTGATGCTGCCAATGGAGAGGCTGAGGGGAGGCCCGTTTGCTCGGGCGTTTCGCTGGGGTTTGGCACAAAATGCTCTTGATCTTCCAGAAAACGTGGCTTTTCTCTGCACACAACTGAAATAAATCAGGTCTAAAGGAGAAAGGAGCTCAAGAAACAACGGGATTCTCCGGCTGATGGGAGCAGCTACGGAAGGGGATCTGCTCAGCATCCCAAACTGCTGTGCAAACAGGATGCTTGGGCTGAAATGATAATCATCACTGGGCAAGATACCTCTACAAGTGCTTGTGCCCTCCGGGCATTACAGAGTTAACACGAGGGGAGAGCAAAGGAGGATGCTGCTCACAGCTCTATGCACTGGGTCTTAAGGCCTTACAGACTGCAGGCTGCTCAGCAGGGCTTACCAGTTCCTTCTACCATGGGTTTGCTGCCCCAGGGACACGAGGACTTAGAGCACACAGGAGGGAAAGACACAGCACACTCAGCCTGGCCCAGTCGCTGTTTCCTGCACGCTCAGCGACGTAGGTCCTCCCACTCCTACATTTATGGCCCCGGAGAAGTGTTGCTGAACACGTGAAGGCCAACAGAGGAGATAAAGAGATAGGGGAGGAACTTTCTAACACCGTAAGTATGAGAGAAAACCCATCAGCAGGTAAAGTATCGATGCTGATACATGGCCTGGTTAGAGTCATGATTCCAGGGAGACCTTAGAGCAGCTCCCAGTGCCTAAAGGGGAACCTGGAGAAGGGCCTGTAGGGACAGGCCAAGGGGAATGGCTTGAACCTGCCCGAGGGGAGACTGAGCTGAGCTCTTAGGCAGAAGCTCTTCCCTGTGAGGGTGCTGAGGCGCTGGCACAGGGTGCCCAGAGAAGCTGTGGCTGCCCCATCCCTGGCAGTGCTCAAGGCCAGGTTGGACACAGGGGCTTGGAGCAAGCTGCTCCAGTGGAAGGCATCCACAGCCAACAGCTTAAACATCCACTATGGATGCTTCTCTCAAGTACTTTTATCAGTCTTCTAAACCTTTGCTATCCATATACAGAATATATACACAAAAAAAAACTCTTTAATACAGGGGCCCAACTCACAGAGAGCAAAAACTAAATCCTATCCCATAAGCAACAAGTCCTTTCACCATCAGGTATCCTCACAGCAGGGACTTGCTGTATGAAGCCTGGATGTCATTCATCACACTCCACAGTTACTCAGAGGTAGATTCTCAGTTACTCCTGTTTATAGTGCGAGGCTAAAAGGCAAACATATAAATATGCTCCCATAAGAGCAGGGAGCATGGAACCAGAAAAAGCCCATTTAAACCAAATCAGCTCCCCCCATAGCCGAGATGTGACAGAATCCCATCAGCAAGGAGAGGAATGAACATTAGAAATACCATTAACAGGCAGCAAAGGCTCTCAAACACAAAGCTATCCCATAATATGGGAGAGGGGAAATGGAAACTGAAATCTTTTGTGGTTTCTCTCACTGTGGTGAGAAATGCTTCCTCGGTGCTTACCACAGCGACCAAAAGTGGGGGGGGAAGACAAGACATTGTGCTTCAAAGCATTCTGATAGCACAAACCTATGAGAAACCTCAGCACCAGCCACTCAGCCCAGAGCTCAAACCCAGATTTCTCCTGTCATCCACCAGCACCCATCTTTGGGGTTGGGTTTTGGGTTAAAGGTGCTTTTTGCTCTCACCCAGCCGAGGTTTTGCAGAGCACAGTAACCTTATTGCATCTGCTAACGTTGAGGCAATGTGAATTCCCCATTTCACCTGTCAAAGGGGGGAAAGCAACAGTTCACCCTGCATTGGGAACAACCCCTGACTGGCACTTGGAGGTTCATTCTTCAGTCAACACGCTGAACCCCCCCTCTCCACCCAGTACAAAGAGGAACAACCACCTTATACCAGAGGGCAATGTCCAACCCCTTGAAAGCAGAGTTCTTACTACCTGGTGCATCAGCAATTCCCACTGTTGGCCCTCACCCCAGTGCTCTGGTTTAGGCTTCAACCACCAAACTGTCATTGAACGAAGTGACAAGGAAAATGAATGAAGTTGCTGGGAGGCAGAAATTCCCTCTGGAATCTTGAGGGTTTGGGAGAGGCCTCTCACTAACACCATCCCTAACAGTGGTGGATGGAAGAGCTCCACGTAATAGCAAGAAAGAAACCCCTGGAAGCACAGTTACGTCAAGGAGGGAGAACACTCACTACCTGCCACGAGTGAAGGTGGGAATTGTGCTGTCTCCAGTGCAAAGCACCCAGCAGACACATCCCAGAACCAGGAACGTTGCTCATTCAATATTAACCACCTCCTATAGAGCTTTTGTTCTGCAAATCTGATGCTGAATGGCCCAGAGCTGCATCTTGCAGAAAAGCAGAAAGGATTCTTGAGCAATTGGGATCATTCCTAAAGTGAAATCTTTAGATCCAGTGGGATCTTCTTAACCCAGATCTATCCTATAGTGCCAACCTATTTTGAAACGGCTGCTTCTGCGGGACCGCTGTCAGGAAGCAGGAGACACATGGAAGCCATGTACCCGATGGCTTACAGCAGCTGCCCCAGCAGCTCTGCAGAGCACAGACATCAAGCCCTGGCTATTACCCTTCACCTGAAGCACAGCAACACGTTAACCACCGAGGATTCAGGGGGAGAAGGAAAGCCCTGGCCTTCCCTTCATTGCCACGCCACAACAATGGCAGCCCTCCAGAGGCAGCCCCAGCCTCACTTCATTCCCATCAAGTGGGCTATTTGTTCCCCCAGGGATCATTCCCAACCCAGCCTACCTCAATAGGTAGCTCCCACCAGACCCCAATAAGCTCAATCCAGATCTGCTCCATGGTTCAGCTCGAGACGACGGGGTATTTCAGACACAAAGCAGGACACATGCACAAGCAACACTACATCACAGCAGCCATGAAAACTGAAACACAAGTCCAAATGGGAGGGCTCCCCAGACATCAAACTCATTGCTGAAAGAGGACCTAAACGCCTCAAATCTTAGCTGGTTGCTCTTGGAACTGATCCCCCATCACTATAACCCTTACTTCAACGTGGAACAGTTATTTATCCATCTGCACCACCACTCCATTTCCACCTCACACCTACACCCTTATCACTGCACAGGTGATTTCTACCTCCAAAGAGCACCAGAGCCATTTCCTCCTCAGACACAGCTCTCCTGGGCTTTGTTTCTCTTCAGATCCACTCCCCCAAGCTCCCAACCCCACCAGCCCTCCCTGGGTGGTGCAAGGGGGATTCTGTGCTTTAGGAGCTGGAAGCCGATTTTTCCACACACATTCACCGAAGGCCTGGAAATTCTTCCCTAGGAAGAGAAGCTGTGGCTGCCCCATCCCTGGCACTGTTCAAGGCCAGGTTGGATGCGGCTTGGAGCAACCTGCTCCAGTGGAAGGTGTCCCTGCCCATGGCAAGGGGGCTGGAACAGAACGAGCTTTAAGGTCCTTTCCAACACAACCCATTCCATGGTTCTATGGATACCGAAAAGCATCAACTCCATCCCTGGATCCTGCCCGCTGATAAAAGGCCGGCTACGGGAAGCACTTCCTCGAGCCCATTTCCACACACACCCATCTTGGAGAGCCGAAATCCCTCCCGATATCAATTGTATGAGTTCACCCTCACAGTTCCTCCCGATGTCAAACACCATTTGGACACCGAACGCGCCGCAAAACCCACACAAAGGGCAGCCAAAAACACATCCCCCCCCAACCCACACACACACCGAGTGGGGGGGCAACCCCAGCCACCCCCCCCCTCCAACAACCACCGCCCAGGCGCGGCCACCGGGACCTGTCAAGCCACCGCGGCCGGAGCAGGGCCCAGGCCCACTTGACGCGGTCAGGCCGGGCCCGGCGCTTCTCACCCAGCAGCAGCAGCTTCAGCTCGCGGCGGGCGTCGCGCTTGTCCCTCCGCAACTGCTTCTCGATCTCGGCGTTGATGCGCTTCGACTCCTTCACCTCGTCGCTCAGGCAACAGGCCATCATGGACTCCAGAGTCATGGTGGCGCCGAGGCCGGGCCTCCCCCGCCCGCCCACCCCCCCCACCCCCCCGGGGCACCGACCACCGGCCTCCGCACGGCCGGGAGCGCGGCCCGGCCCCGCGCCCCCTTCCCGGCCCCCCCCCCCCGCCCTCCGCCGCGCCGGCGCGGCCCGGCCCGGCCCCGGCCTCGGATCCGGATCCGACTACGTGCGGCCGGGCCTAGCGCCGCCACCGCCGCCGGCCCCCTCCGCGCTGCCCTCGCCCGGCTGCGGCCGCCGCTCCCTCCTCACACGGCCCCGCCGAGCCAGCGACGAGCCGGCGCAACCCAACCCGCTGCCGCCGAAAACAAGCGCTGACTGACATCCGCTCAGCCAATGGCAGAGCGCGGAGTGCCGCGGGGGCGGGACTAAGCCGGCGGGGCGGGGCGCCGCAGCCAACCGGAGCGCAAGTTTGGTTGGCCGGGCATGGGGGAGGCGGAGGGGGGGCGCTCGGACCCGCGTTCCCAGAGCGGGGCGGGGGCCGCTGGGCATTGTGGGACGGTGGCGGACCGGGGCGGGGCGGGGCGGCCAGGCGGCTATGGCGGGCCGCGGCCTCTCTCCACAGGCCGAGCGCGGAGCGGGCACCGCGGCTCTTCCCGGCCCGGCCCCACCTCACCCCGCGGGGCCGCGGCTCCCTCCGCCGGCCGCCGCCCGGCACCCCCGGCCCGGCTCAGGGCAGCGCCCACCCCGGGCGCAGGCCCCGCCAGGCCCCGCCCGCCCACGGCTGCGGCAGCGGGGGAAGTGCCCGGCGGGCCCCGGGCCGCCTCTGAATCCGGCCCCGCAGCTCCGGGAGCCGCCTCCGGGCCTGTTCCCGTCGCTCCATGCGCGGTCTCAACGCTGCCTTTAGCCGCGGTGTCCACATTGCTGCTTAGCAGGGCCCTGTGGCAGGTAGCCCCGAGGCAGCCTGATGTCAGCCCAAGCCATGGCATCCATGCATCCATCCATGTATCCACCCATGCATCCATCCATGTATCCATCCATGTATCCATCCATGCATCCATCCATGCATCCATCCATGCATCCATCCATGTATCCATCCATGCATCCATCCATGTATCCATCCATGCATCCATCTATGCATCCATCTGTGTATCCATCCGTGTATCCATCCATGCATCCATCCATGCATCCATCCATGTATCCATCCATGCATCCATCCTTGCTGCTTTACCTTCATGAGGAACCCAACCATACCCCAGCAGAAGACACACTCGGGACCTCTGTCTCCTGTCTTCCACCTGTACAGGCTGGTTCCCAACCTCAGTTCATCCCACAGCCCTCCAGAACTGGGGGGCTCAAACAGGACCAACCGAGCCCCAGCCCTGTATCCCAGTCACCCCAGGACCGTGTTCCTTCAGTCAGGCATCACCCACAGAGCAGGAAGTGCTGACAGACACTGTGGACCCAGTGCCCTCCCCATGCAGAAAGATGGAATTGCAGAAGTTCCATAGATTCTCTTTTACCATGGCCATATCCACACACTGCACCATCCCTTTGGATGGACACCAGGGTCCCTGCTGGTCCAGGAGGAGGGGAAGAGGCAAAGCAAGACCTCTGTGGCAAGTTAAAACTGATGTACAAAAGGTCCCAAAGGAGAAGTCTCTTCCCACTTTCCCCTTGCTCCATCTGGTGTTGTTTCTTTGTCTTGTTTTCAGTTTCCTTAATGCCGATGTTCACCCCAGCTCTGCTGTTTGCAGGTGTTTTGGAGCCCGTATGGATGCCCCGCTCCATCACTGCCTGGTCTGGCTGCGGTCACTCCCCTTATCCTTGCCTGTTCTGCCTGGAGCTCTGTGTGTAACCGCTGACAGCAGCAGGACAGAGCTGTTACATCCCTGTCTCCCTGGTTACCTGCCGGTCCCTACCCCATGGCAGCCTGATGGAGACACAGACACGAGATGCTCCCAAGCAGGAGGCTGTTTCCCACTGCGATTCCTCCTGCTCTTCTACCAGTGCTGCTCCCCTCAGCTCTTGGCCTCAATGAACAGAAGATTCTCACTCCTTTTTCCAGTGGTCTCGCCATAGTTTGGCTTTTCCTAGCATCAATTCCCTTCCATTCTTCCCTTCTCCTGCTTTCTCTTCCAGGTATCCCATGCCTCAGACCCCTGTCTCCTTACTGATCTCTGGTGAAGGACTTGTTCCTCTGGCAGATGACTCCAAGTCACCCTTTGGAACTCCAGCCAGGAATGGTGCTGAAGGAAGCAGGAAGCCTTTGGTTCCTACCACACTGCTCTGGCTTTAAGCAAGTCACTTCACCTCCTTCCCTGTCCTCAGGCTGTGAGTGCAAGATAGATCCTGGCTCAGGAGTTACCAACCAGGATTGCCAGGCTGCTTTGCACCACAAGGTGCTATGTGCCAGGGGCTGTTGTTTGGGTTCTCTTCCCTTGAGCAGCAGCAAAACCTAAAGGCCAGAAGCTCCTGCACTGGTTGCCATAGGAAAAGGAGGAACAACATCTGCATCCAGCCTCTGGACCAATTGGCTTGTACTGCCAGGCCTCAGCTCTAATGAATCCTGCTCTGTGGAGGTAGGAATGACAGAGCTGGTGGTCTCCAAGCAGCAATGCTCTGTCTGCTCCTTCCCTTCCTGCCCTCATGGAAAAGCTGCTTGGAGCAGGGAGAAGCCAGCTGCAGTTTGCTGCAGCTGCTCCCTCACTTTTCCTTACCTAAAGAAAAGCATCTTGCAAGCAGACAGAGAGAACTGATGCCATCCTGCTGCAGAAACCAGGTGCTTTGGGCACCCGGTTGAGCTGCACGCACACCCCCACAGAGGGATGTGCTGCAGAGGGGCAGCAAGAGGGGGTCAGGATGCTCTGTGGATTTGCTGGAGATGGCCCCATGTTAATTCCTGGTGCTGAAGGCCTAAAGCAAGGCAAAGCAGCTCTGTTCCAGTGCCAGGGGATGCTGTCCATCCTCCCTGGAGCCCTGCTGATGGTCCTGCAGCCCTGGGACCCCAGCAGCAGAGAAGGATCTCTTGGAGGAGTCCATGGCTTGTTGCTGCTGAGAGCACAACCCAGGCCCAGAGAGGATGTGCTCCAAGGAGGACAGCTTCCAGCACTCACCTCCATCAGCCCCAGCATGGAGCACCCACAGCAGCCTCACCTCCCACAGGAGGGCACTGCAAGCCAGAGGTGCTGCCAGTTCCAGCACCTCTTTCTCCTCCAGAGCCAAGGGGAGCAGGTCAGGATGGGGCCCTGCCACTGCTTAACACAACCCTGGGCAGTGCATGGGCAGTGCTTGCCATCCCAGCTCTCACAGGAAGGGAAAGGAAAGGGATGTATTGTTTAATACATGAAAGCACCTTCATACCAGTGAAGTGTGAGCAGTGAGAACCTTGTGTAAACCAGGACCAGCTCTGTCATCCCCTTCCCCATGCTGCAGATCCTGGTCTGGGAATCATAGGTCCCAGATTGGTTTGGGTTGGAAGGGAGCTTAAAGCTCTTCCAGCTCCAACCCCTACCACAAGCAGGGACCCCTTCCACTGGAGCAGCTCCAAGCCCCTGTGTCCAACCTGGCCTTGAGCACTGCCAGGGATGGGGCAGCCACAGCTTCTCTGGGCACCCTGTGCCAGCGCCTCAGCACCCTCACAGGGAAGAGCTTCTGCCTAAGAGCTCAGCTCAGTCTCCCCTCGGGCAGGTTCAAGCCATTCCCCTTGCCCTGTCCCTACAGGCCCTTGTCCCAAGCCCCTCTCCAGCTTTCCTGCAGCCCCTTTAGGCACTGGAGCTGCTCTCAGGTCTCCCCTTCAGGAGCCTTCTCTTCTCCAGGCTGCCCCAGCCCAGCTCTCTCAGCCTGGCTCCAGAGCAGAGCTGCTCCAGCCCTCGCAGCATCTCCATGGCCTCCTCTGGCCTCGCTCCACCAGCTCCACATCCTTATACTGGGGCTGGATCCAGGACTGGAGGTAAATGCTTCCCAGGAGGCCACAGGAGGCACTACAGGAGTACCTATGAGCTGCAAAAGGACCCAGACGCAGTCTCCTCGTGCCATCAATCCTCATTCTCCGCTGTTTTGACCTAAATTGAGGTCAGGAAGAAATATTCCTCCTACCTGGAATGCTGAGTGCAGGCTCTGCAGGGTGCAGCAATCTCAATCCATCTTCCCATTCTGGAGTCACTGCAAACCTCTGCACTCATGGCAATATTCCTTTGCTGGAGCTCCCGTCCTGCAGACCAGCACTGATCCTGCCCAGGGGCAGCAGGAATGGGATGTAGGGTCATCAGGAGGGATTATCCGCCTTGTATTAGGCAGGAGGAAAGCCTGGATGATCCCTTTGACCTTCAGATTGATCTCTTTGTCCAGCAAGGAAAACAGGAGAGAGGTGGGAGGCCTTGCCATGGCAGGCCTGGGGCAGAAGCCTCTCTGCTCATCCCAGCCCCTAGGATCACCATCAGGCTCTGTCTGGTTTGCAGAGGGATTCAGGGATTCAACTCCTGCTCCTGGACAAGGTCTGGATTCCCCTGGACCTGCTCTAGCTCCAAGCTCCCTGTTTCTCTATTCCTTCCCTGGAGCTTGATGCCAGCCCAGTCCTAGCCCAGGAGAGGCAATTCCAGCTGCAGAATCCCTTTCCTGTTTCCTGCTTGGAGCATGAACCGCTGCTCCTTGTGCTTTGCCTGGGAGAAAGGGGGAGAATCACCCCTCATGGGTCTGCAGCCGAACCAGAGGGGAAGGAGAGGAACGGAGCCTTTCACATCCCTGCTGAGACGGGATCAGAGGCTGGGAATGCTGCACCCGCTGTAAAAAGCCTGCCTGGAGCATGGCTTTTCCTTGGAGCAAGGCTCTTTCTGCCCACAGGCACAGGCTGTGCCTCACTGTGTGTCCCTGAGGGATGCAGCACCCACCTGCAAGGAGGAGGTGGGAGAAGTGGCAATGGACAGGGGGAAGCATGCCAGGGGACACGGATGCAGCCACCAGCACTGCTGTCACCACCAGTGTCTTAAGGACATCCCCTACCTGGGCACTCATCCACCTGCATGGGCTCAGTGCCATGGGGGGATCTTTCCTCCATGGGGCAGCCTGGAATGTGGGGAAGACTCCAGCTTCTCCTTACAGCAGGAGGATTTGCCTGGCTGGATGTGGCGGTG